AAAAGTCAAATAAGTTATCTTATATATTTATATCATAGAACATATTAAGTACTATTTGGCACCAGCGTTTTTAAATGTTAGGGTGTAGAAAATCATTTTATAGCGCAATACTTATACATGATTTTTCATTTTAGGTCAGTGCAAATAAATCATTGCTCAACTGTTGTCACAATAAAATGTCAAGGGTGTAATCCTGAAACTGTTTAAGTATTCAAATGGCAAAGGAAAAGATTGATAAGAAATCAAATCAAATATTTATGAAAATGTTTTACAAGTAATTATGCTCATCAAATGAGTCTCATAACTCTGATTAAATTGTTATGCATAATATATTTGTGTTACATTCTACTAAACTAAATTGTTTGTATCCGAAGGACAGAACGGTTGAGAAAAACTTCGTGAATTCCCGATTTCTTTTTCTTGAATTCTCAATTTTAACTACGTAAATTCACGTTTTTAACATACGGAATTAACGAATACCCGATTTCAGTTCTCCATGAATTCACGCGATTTCAACTTCATGAATTCAACTACATGAATTCATTTTTTAGACTTAATGATTTCAACTTTACAAATTCAAGATTTTACAAAGTTGAAATTGTGAAGTTCAAATGGCTGGCTCGAAATTGTAAATTCATGAAGTTGACTTCATGAAGTTGAAATCTTGATTTCTTAAAGTTGATATCGGAAATTCAAGAAGTTGAAATATCACCACCGGTCTTTCTGTCTTTGTTAAGTTGTTTGTGCATTCCAAAACAAATAGCATTTTAAATTTGTTATTTTCCACTATAATATAGAGATATAGAGATAATATAAAATTACTGCATCAAGAGTAAGTCAGAATTAGTTATGTTTGTTAAATGCTCTGACGAAGATAAGCTGACTTTCCTAGTCAAAACAGAAACAATATTAAGTTTCTAACAACATAATCCGATAATGGGTTTCAGTATCTTTTTAGCTGAGTGGTAAAACAATGATTAATGCAATAGTTGACGGCTTTGATCAGAACGAACGGTAAGGTTAAACATCTATCGGAAAGTATGCTTGTTAGGCAATCTCTTTGTGCTTTATCTTCTTAGAATATTGTAGATCTAGTCAACACTGTGTTATTATATTGTGACTAAGTAGGGTACTTTGTTAGCTTTCTGCGACAAAATTCCCATTGACACAGTGCCGCTTTGAATTTATATGGTAAGTTCTCACTGCTACCAGTGGTTGATATAAGGGAAAGAGTGTTCCATGAGTTGCTTTTAACAAGACCGCTGACACGCTAACGCTAAACAGTATTGTGAAATGTGAACAGAACAGAACTTTATTGAACATCGTGCATCATTATATACAACATATTTTCAACTATAATGTACATTTTTGTGCAATCAGTCAATAAAGTCGTAGAAAACAATAATTGCAATCAAATATAATTTGGAGTTTGAGTAAAGGTGAACATATTTAAGAAGAAAAATTAAGAAAAAGACTACAAGCTGCTCTATCATCGAACATATAACATCAAAATTATAATGGTAATACCATTTTTGTAATAAAATGCTAATTTACACAAGCAGCTTATATCATTACCTTGCAGCACTGAAATAAATGTGTACATACTTAGATTTATAAAATTAAATCTTTTAATAAACAGGCATTGAATAATTGTATAACATAGTCATGCAAGAAAAAAAAAGATTTTCATCCTAAAGAACGGCATTGTCAGTACCGTTAATTTCTTTGTTTTTATTTTTAGCGTATCTACAAGTTTGTATTTTAGGTTATATACACAAGTTTTTGTAATTCGCAACATATTTTCCCAAACTTTCAAATGTATCTTTTCAATTTGTTTTAATTTAGTAAAGCCCCTTATGTCTGAGAAATAATTACAAAATGAGCCAAAAAAAGAATCAAACATCTGATATAATAACTTGCGTTTCGAACTTACGTTTTAAACTTTAAAAGCAAAATATTAAGCGCCTTTATGCCAACGTTTTTTTCCGAATATGACAATACCATTATCAAAAAATAGTATAAGTATTATTTTTGTCTACGATATCAAGCCCAGAACTATGATTATCCTATATAACTAATTCTAGATCATCTACGAACAGAGAAAAAAGTATACATATACATTACACCTTTTATCCATTTTTTATCTGGAAATGTCCATGATCTAAAATAACAATAAAAACATCAGAATTATGCGACAATTGTTTTGATGGACTAAAACATATAACGTAAGATTTTATCAATCAAATTCACAATCTCGCTGCTGCAAATTGAAACTTTTACCTTCCATGTAGAAATGTTCAGTCCATCCTTCTTGATTTCTAATCTGGCCTTATCTACTTTCTTCGGCTTTTGATCTACGTAAACTGTCTGGCATGAGCTAGCCAAGCCGGCTTCCTTAGCCTCCTTTAACTTTGAAACTAGTTTTCGCCTTTAGTATTTACCTCTTAAGGAAATAATTTTATCTCTGTAATGTTTTTTCTTTCTTTCTTTTTAGGTACAAATTCACATTCCTTGAAAAGGGAAAACATGGCTACAATGTTTCAACTATGACGACTGTTTTGCCTCAAATTCTTCGCACTCTGTCAAACTGTAGTTCCTTATCACTTTTTTAGAAATTTTCATTTTGTCTGTTAAGAAAGTTTTAAATGTGTTTTCTGTTACAACAGAAGTTTCTGTTGGGGCCTTATCTTTATAAGCAAATATAAGGTTGTTTCGCATGTATGGACATTGTAGATAAAGAACTTCGTCCCTCAACAAGTCTTTCTCTTTTTGCAATTTGATCATCTAATTATTCATAGTCCAACAGAAAAGCCACCTTCAGTTTTACCCCATTTAAGACGCATTTTTTCTGTATTTTTTGTATTTTCATTGGGCCAATGTCATTGTTTTTCATTTCTTGTTCCTCATTGTTCAATTTATGTTCAAAAATTTAAAAGTTTTGAACATTCTAAGGTAAAGAGTGAAGTGACCTCTTAATGATTTGCATTTGTCTATTATAAGGTGCATGCATAAACAGTATTTTCCTATGAAATTACTCACTATTAGCCGCTTTATAAACATTTCGTATACATAGTATATTCTACTTTTAGTAGTCACGATTCGTTTCAAATATTACAATCGGGTCACAATAAACAATTTTCTCGTTTACAGCAGCCTGACGCCTTGTTGCTATGACGCTTCCAAACAATTGTGTGAGTTATGTATCTGAAAGTTTTGTCTCAATCGATCACTCAACTCTAGTCTTGACACACTGTATGACAGAAAATGACGGTAAGGCTGTTTTTATAACTGAAAGTAGTATAATTTAGAAATTTAAACTTAAAGTTATTATTTAGAATCGAAAGCAAAATGCATGTAAATTATTCGCATATTCGTACCTTTTTGTGCTCTTGTATTTAAAGATCCTCTAACACAAACTTTTTATGGTTTATATCATGAATATGATGCTCAAATTAAGATTTATCAATTTTGTAAGTTCCAAAAAGCATTTTTTATAAAGATATTACCGAATTTAACATTTCATGTAAATAAAGGGAGGTAATAAAAAGTTTATTTTCTATAAAGTCTAAGTTAAATTTTTCAATAAGAAATGATGCATATATTTTAATGATTACATTATAATATGTACAAATAATGGCAGTACATATTTTACATATTCTCCGATGTTTGAAAATTGTTTAATAAGCAAAATTGTATACATATATATAATTTCACTTAAGTGTGGTTTACAACCTCAACTACAATAACAGGATCTTTAAGCAAATCAGCTACTTGAATAATAGGAGTGCTCAATTTCTTTAAATTATTTGATTGCGTATTCTTAAAGAGGTTCATTAAATCTTCAAAAATATTAATTCAAGATGAAAGAAAAACGATTTTTTGCAATGCAATCGGGAGTTAGTCATCATAATTCATGCTGTTTTTCAAATCTTCCAGAGCTCAAAATATTTGTGGTCTTTGACTGGAATTTGTTTCCTGGTTCGAGCTGTGATAATGTCAGACGACATGAAGGCGTGTTGGATAACGCCTTATGACTCATACCGGAAGTTCAAGTGTGTAAAGAGCAGCGTCATGACTCTACCTTTCAATATTTGTGCAATGAAATGTTGCTTACAGCATCGGTAAAAATGAACATTTATGTTTATAAGATATAATTGCCACATTTGAACAACACACATAAAAAGAATATCTTGTTTACAATTACCTAGCATATTTTGATCAAATCAAGAGAAAATATTATGATTAATCATTGAAGCGTTAGAACAAAATAATGAAGAAATATAATTACAAGTTATTTCAAAAGATTTGATCAAACGCTGATGATAAAGAATACTTATTTTTGTTCACAATTTATCAATGACGTATTTAAACAAACACAGAAAAGTAAAAAAAAAACTATGTTTAAAAAAATCTTTCTTAATATACTTTTCTAACCTTAAACACGCAATTGCATATCATTTATGCACACACGTTCTCAGTTTAGTATCAAACAGAAAGTAAAGAAAACTTAATTGATGTGACCATCAGGTAAGCAAATCGTTCAAATAAACACAAATAATATAATACAAGGGTAACATTGTCGCAAAATACGCCCGTCACCAAAGCTTTTGTCAGAGATGTCGGCATTATAGATATGCATATAGGAGATATCCTTTTGGCAATACCCGGACAATGTTTGGATATTTTATCATCTTTAGTTACCTTTACCTTGCCAATGTTAACTGAAATTACATGTGTGACACTTGTAGTCATGATAGTTTTTATTTGTGTTACATTCCATCAATAAATCATAACTTAATTGTCCCCGTGCACAAACTTTGATCTCTCTTTGTGACCTTGACTTTGGTAGTAGGGACCGGGATTATGTGCGCAATACTTAGCTTCGGAATGGTGGACATGATAATGACAATTTGTGTTTTAATTTACTAAATAAAAGAATATTGTATAGATCATTATATCATTTTGAATCATATTCCCAGAAAAAAAGTTAACGCATTTCAGATGTATAGGATTGTATCACAGGGACGCAAGCGATGAATGTTACTTGATCAACGCTATTGAAAAAGAGGAAAATTGTGCCGACTTGGATTGGATTAGCTGGAAAGCATATAAAAAAACTAAAGGTAACTATAACGTATTGAAGGTTTGCCAAAGATATTCCAAATAACTATAGTCGTAGAATATTTCTGGAGAACAAGAGAATGAGTGTTACCCTTTTAAAAGATAATAATGCGAGCGATAGCGTATATAGACGTTTAGAATTAATGAACAATGTAGGAATTAGATAAGCTTAAAGAGAAGAAAGGAATAACGAAGCTGGAAACTAAGTAGATAGATAAGATTAAAGGAACTCCACTGAGGTTTATAAGCCTAAAAGCATGAAATTTAAATTTTTCACATAGATAAACATTAGCACTTTAAACATAAATATTAATAACATATAACCAAAAATATAGTAGAAATACATTGAAAATCATATGTTTGTGCTATTCTCAGTCCGATTTGAGTGAAAAGCGTTTAAACGCTTTTCAATTTTGGGTCATTTTTCACTAATATAATAATTATTTTGGAAAAACGGAGCAAGATAATGATCTGAAATTTTGCACATAAGTTATTAGTATAGATCTACATCAAATGGAGTAATAATCTCAAAAAATTATTTCCAGTCCCGTCATGTCAAAAAACCTCAGTGGAGTCCCTTTAATATAATGTTTTGTTATTTCAAAAAAGTAATTATGAAATAAATTGAAAGAGAATACAATTTTACCGAAAAGAAAACAATGAATTATATTCATGATGATCTTTGTTTTTTTCCCTAAAGACCTCGGCGAGTGCAGCCAATATTTATTGGTGAACAAGAAGTTCCCTGCTCGGCTGAACTTTGTTCCGAGTGATAACGATGGAATTGGTGGTATTAACGTGACGGGCAACTATAAATTTGTAAGTCAATCTAAGTTACAAATATAAACGATCTTGCTAACTTTACAAATATTAAGATATCAGTAAATATTTTATTATGATTACTCGCCGTAGATTTCTGAACATTTATGTTCAGTATTACGCGCTTCATCTTGTTTGCATCATTTCGCAATTCGCATGTTAACATAAAAAATAACATAAAGCTCATATGAAAAACGTTAATTTGTGTGCGTGTCAAGTAATAATCAAATCTATCAATTCATTCCCCAATGTTTTTCCATTTTATTACAAAATACTTAAGGTTGGTGGTAATTATTTTGTTTAATCTGATTTACACTTCCATCACCATTTAGTAACAAACCATTGCAAGCTACAAATGTAGTTGATTAGCACTCTAACGCCGTCGTCACATAACTTCCATAACTTTTCAGAAAGGGTGGACGATTACCAAGAAATATAAGGGTTATGCATAATGGGTCTGAATTTGAAATAGTGAATAAATTTACATATCTTGGAATAGTTTTATCTTGTGGGGGATCTTTCGAACACACATATGATGGATTGCAAGGTCAAGCATTAATAATTATTTTCAAAATAAAGCAATACTTACAAAAATTTACTTATATAGATGTCAAACATAAAATTGAATTGTTTGACAAGTTACTTTTACCGATTTTATGTTATGGTTGTGAAATATGGGGCATGAATAAAGCTGATAAAATAGAAAATATACACACACAATTTTTTTGAAAATTTTAGGGGTAAAATTACAAACCAAGACTTATTTTGTATACGGTGATTTAGGTAGAATGCCTTCAAAACAACAAAGAATAATACAAGTTTTAAAATTCTGGTTAAAGATAATTAAATGCGATAACGTGAAACTGATTAAATGAACATACAATTTAATGCTTGAAGATATTGAACGACTAATTAGACAACGTCTTTAATAACAATTCTTGAAAATCTAGGCTTAAATCATGCACGGATATATCAAGAAGTAGGAAATGAAAACATTTTTATAACAGAAGTCAAACGAAGACTAAAAGATAATTTTATACAAACCTGAATGCCTGAAGTTGAAGCGTCACCCAGGGCCGACACATATAAACTTTATCGCTACTTTCGGTTTTTCGAAATACATAGAACAAGTCAACATCAGTAAATACCGAACTGCTTTAACAAGATTTCGTTTATCGTAACACAGATTGTATATAGAAAGTGGCAGATTGCATAAACCGCATCCAATTCCAAGAACTGAACGCAATTGTATCTTATGTAACACACTAGAAGACGAATTTCATTTCTTTTAGAATGCGAATTATATAAAGGTTTAAGAATAAGATATATAAAACAATATTTTCGAAAAAGACATTAGCATTCCAAAGTTTGTTAAAATTCTTTCTAGCGACCAAAAGCAAATAAATACCAATCTTGTGATATACTAATTTAAAACCATGGAACGCCGTAGCATAGTTTATACGAGAAGAAGGAAGAGAGTCGGTAGACGATGACAACCGGTCAGTCAGGCAGACGTCCGTCCTTAATGCTGGACTATGTGACGAGTTAAATACGAGTCACTTTTCTCCACACAATAGTATAATTTTACATTTTCTCTTGCGGAAGACTCTATTTTGATTTAAATATTATTATTGTGTGCGTGCGTGCGTGCGTGCATGCGTGCGTGTGTGTGTGAAGTTGAATACTAACGTTTACTTTTTGTATTTCAAAATCTTATTGACGATGTCTATGATAGGTGTATAACTGTTTGAAAATACTACAAAAGTAAAATTAAATGTTTTAAATGAGAATAACATAAAAGTATTTATATTTTTATTGATTGATACTGTTGTTAAACCAATTGCCTCTTATAGTTTGCAAAATGATATGGTGTGGTCATGAGTATTGTATTTACTATTTTCATGATGATACTTATCATACTTGATAAAATTAATTTCATATTTCTATTGCATGCAGTGATGATTGATATTTTTTTACGATTACGATTCACGGGCATTTGCCTTTTGTTCAATAAAATTATTTAATATGTAGATCTTTTAACGAGATAAAATAGAAAATAATTTTGTATACTTAGTTTTATTTTAATTAGTTGCGCCTTACTTAAATACCAAAATATCGTTTATTAATAAATGTGCTTAATTTACTCGTATTTGTTTATATCATGTTGTCATTGTTACAGATAAGTCTACCAAACTTTTCCAAAGTTCGGGGATTTGCAATCCTAGGAAGGTGGCGAAATGGAACTATTGACTCTTGCTGTGATGATAGGGTGACATCTTTTTATATTCACCATAGTGCTGACTATGAAGAATGGGTCTGGGCGGACAATAAAAGAGTTAGTATCGTTTTATTATTACATTGGTTCAACATTTGTTTCGAAGTTTACCCTTCCTTAACCATCTAAAACTCTGGACCAGTAAATCCTTTCTTGGAAACACACATGAACCCGCATGAATACACGATACTCAGGGACGAGATGAACTTTTGTGAAGTTGTGTTTCCTGTCTCCAAGGGTTACTAAGTTTATTTAGGTCCATTTATGAAAATATATTTTAGGCTTCTTGTGTGACACTAAAATATCCAGAGCTTAGATATAACGCATGAAGCATTCTCAAGTGGATCTCTACAAAAGTTATGTTATTCTGGGCTAAAAATGGATCTACCTTTTAGGCAATTTTTATACATATTCTTTATGTGAATATATCGTAGTCACTCGTAGTTTTCTGTACTTTGTAATGTCTCCGTTAACATGAAGCTTATTAAGTAAGTGGCATTATGCCCAAGTGAGTTAACAGGCGAAAGTCTAAAAAAGTTTTATTTTTATTATTGAACCTTTCAATTTTTAAAATTTGCTAGGAACGTACGTTGCCCAATGAAATTTCTATACATTTTCTGGAATGTTCAGTTGATAAAAAGAGTAGGACATCTTTTTATTTTATCCCATCCATTTTCAAATATCAACTGTTGATCAATCATCATTAAAACACGGTCAATTGTTTTGTGAGGTATACATGTAGTCAATTTAGTTAAATGTAATATTGGAAAAATAAGCGTAATGACCCCTGAGATATGTTTTGACTCCATCTGTTCATGCTACAGTTATGACCGACGCGTGAGCGATTATAATACATCATTTTAAAAATATTAAGAGAATTCGGAAGGCTGATTAGGATTTGTAGTATTTTCAGTAATTTCCATATTAGAGGTTATAATGTAAAGTTAAAACTGTTCTTCACCAAGAATATAAGTCAGAATATTGCACGTCACTTATGCAACCCATTCGTTTTGTTGTTGATTGTTTAATTGAATACTCCCCATAAATGGTAATGGTCATCAATAAACAGAAATGACACTGTTTTAGTTAATTTGTTTTCAATTCTTATTTTTAGATATTTTCTATCTGTCTACTAATAATAAATCATATTGAAATCGCTGATTTATATTTCCTATAACGTGATTTATCAGCCATTTTAATTTTGGTGTCGCACGGATCAAGTGTAGTTAAAATACTAAATGATGAAATTTGGTTTAAATCTCCTGTGTGAATATGCATTGCTTAGAGCCTAAGTATATTTCAGTTTCATTGCAAGTTTGATCTCCATTAAAATGTTATGAATCAGGTTTCTATTAACAACATAATTATATGGGTTCGTTTGCTTAAAAATGTAATCGATTCGAATTTGAAATATTTTGCTTTTTTTCATTAGAAATCGATCAATATTTAATTATTGTAAGAGGTGCATATATAAATTGGTTGATAATGATTTAATTGGATCTAAGTAATTATGATTAAAAATACATTTCATTTAAAGTAGGTGAGATGAAAGTTTATGTTTTTATACCAATTATATATCTAAAACTACATTTACAGTGCAATATCAAACCGAGCCTGGAACATTTTGGTCGTTTGTTAGAGATTTTAAAATAGATAATAGAAAATGAGATTAGATTTATTGATTTTGACAGTTAATCACGTTAAAATATTCAGAGAAGATGCTTGAATATGATAATACCCAATAAATGAACAACATAAATGTATTATTAAACGACTAAATCCTTGTCTGATTGATTAAATAGTCCTAAACCCGATATGACTCGATGATTTACTCCATTATCAACGTAGTATGATCTTTACTAGCAGTTGATCTCAGGTGGTCGAAACCTTTATCAAAATTATAGGCAATATCTTTTCGAAATATGTTTTATATCATTTCAGTTATTTGAGGGTAATGTGATTCCGGATGCCGGAAATGAGATTGTCGTCAATGTGTTTCAGACGCCTGTAGAAGTGAGATTCTTAGCGTTGTTTCCCGCAGATAATCAAGGGCAAAAGATCATCCGTTATGATGTGATTGGTTGTGAAATATGACATCAAACATTTGATAATTCTCTGAGGCTGAGATGCCCAAAATGTTTCAGTCTTTCGCCTAATATTATGTTTGAATTTATTGTAGTCGGATAGAATTGCAGTGTTTCAAAAGAATCATAACGCACTTACTTTTCTTGCAAATCAGATTGTTGTTATCGTTAGTTTACACGCTGTTGTAAGAAAATAATAATGAGTGTAATTACATAAATTTCCATGGAAAATTGTTTTATTAAGGTTAAAATGATTTTAAATATGGTGGCATATGGTAGAATATGCAAGAAAAAAATATCTGACATATGCTTGCAGTTCGGAACGGAATATCCGTCCCTCAGGAGCCCGCCCATTGTCAGTAACTTTGCAAGGCTTGTTACCACCCAAAGGGCGGGTCCTATCGGGAAGGCTTATTCTAACTGAACCGCAACATATGACAGATACAAAATGTATTAAAATGGTAAACCGGCTAAATTTAATCACTCAAATATATCGACAGTTTTATAAAGATATATTCAAACACTAAGTTTGATAGTGTTTGAAAGTAGGCATATACTACTTTTTTTTTCATAAATTTATTCATGATATTTACAGATAAAAATCCTACTGTGAAGCAGTAGGACCCGGTTTTTAAAAGAGAAACTTAACAAATATATACATATAAGTGAAATCTAATTACATGTACAAATGATTGTCTTTACACACATGATAAGAATCCGCAATCCCACGCAAAGCGAGTCATTGCGGACACCAAACATGGATGGGATACCTAACACAAAATTATTATAAACACATGTCTCATTCAAACATTCATGAAAGAAACATTTAACAAAATATGGAAATAGTGAAACTTTGGTATTTATAATGTCTGTATTGTTTTATAATGTCTCAATATACTGTATTAAAATCCATTTTATCAAATTAAATCAATAAAACATATGTATTTTGTGGAAACAACAGAGAGAAACCGGGTTTACAATATATGTTAGTAATAAATGATAAAAGATAAAGCTTGTATTTGCTACATTTAAAGATCCTGTATGTTTTGTGATTGATATAGTCACTGTGTGTATACCACACTTGCAAAACTTATATATGTATATATATATGCAAATAAAACAATTTGCGAATACCGAAGAATAAGTAAAATGTGAACTGCAAATATTTGTGCACATTATATTTAATCAAAAAATTATATGCATTCATTACTTATTGGAAAATTGGACTTAGAATTTATAAAAAAATAAATTTCTAATTACCTCCCTTTATTTACATAAAATGTTAAATTCGGTAATATCTTTATAAATAATCCTTATTGGATCTTACAATATTGATAATTCTTAATTTAAACATCATATTTATGAAATAAAGCCATGAAAAAATGTGTTAAAGGATCTTTAATTGGTCTTTAGTAAGCATTGACCAATTTATTTTTGTAAATGCTAATAAACGCTTACCTCGTACATAAATTCATGTATTTATTTCATTTACATGATTTATTGAATTGAAACATCAAACTCCAATGAGCATTTTTGGCATTGTAAAAGTCCTCATTATTTTTTTTATTGTCATGGTCATAAAGTAAGCAGTTTTAGTGGATTAAGTTGCCACTAAAATGTATTAAGAGCATCATACATTAGTGTGTAAAGAGATAACAACTTTCAGATATGTAAATATAGGGATAAACCAGAGGTTGCATTCTTTGAGCATAAAGCAAATAGTTATTAGTAAGAACAAAACTGAATTAAACAAATTATTTCAATTTCAAATCAGTTCATATAATTTGCCCGATTTTAAATATATATTTGCCCGATATACACATGACTGGTGCCTTTACCTAGCTTTATGACAAAGACATCATTTGATGTTAATATCAGACTACAAACAACACGCGATCAATTCTAATATAAGCAACTGCTGTATATGGAAAAAACCTAATGAAAGAATATATAATAATATTTAATGTTTTCTAAAAAATATTTGATGTGAATGATTTTGTGATATCTGTCTTCTTCAATTTATATAATTTCGTTGGAAAGTGTTTAAGGACGCCTCTAGGTAAAGTACAGAAATATTCAGATAATGTGTCATGTGTTTGTGTGCATTAATTAAAAAAAGTGATTTATATAATTATGTTAGTTCGATATGACTAAAATATTTGGGTTTGTCAAAACGACCCCGGTAAAAGCGGTAGTTGAATGATTGTAAGAAAAAACGCTAACCTAGTTCTCGCTGAGAATTTTACCAGTGTCACGTCGTCCTTATAAGGCGAGGTTACTTCTTACACATGATCTTTTCGTTCCAAACACTTAATTATCAAATTCGACTTAATACAAATAAGTGTCAAATATTGCCTGTCTGTTCAAATGAGAAAGTTGTTTGTTTTTTTTTTAATTGTAGCGATTACATTGGTCGGCAATTGATGTTGAACGCTTATATATGAATATATTTATTATGCATGCTAAATCATAACATTCATTAGATAACTTTCATACTGATAAAAAAACAACAACAATTGATTGTTAATCTATTTTTCATGACTTGCTTTGTAAGAACTGCTGTGTATGGGCAATTTGTTGTTTTTGTTGTTGATGATGATTTGGTTTTTGTTTTTTTGTTTTAACTTTTTTTTCTGTCTATATCTTGTATGATGTTCTTAGAGAAATAAAAAAAAATATAATTTACTTTTGTAGATGGTTATGCATAAACGTGGTGCACTAAACATCTTTTATTTCTACAAGAAATATGTACTTAAAAAAAAACATCATTTTGTAAAATTCATTATAAGAATTACTATCGTATCTTATACCATACTATTTCTACAAGAAGATTATGATTTGCTGTTTTTAATTGGAATAAAGAAATATAATCAGATAGCTCTGCAACTTTGAAATATTCTTCATAATTATGATCGTCTTTAAAGCTTTTATAACCCTATATTTGTAGCAAGTAAGACACTAAGACCCCTTGACTTCTCGACCCGTTGACATCTAGACCCATTGACTATTATACCCCTTGTAGGATACTTTTCGATATGAATCAAACACACATGCAAACATTTGGATTTTTACATACTTTTAAATGTTTTTTTTGTGCTCCACATAAGTCACTTAGTTATATGTGCCTGTATTTTAAGAAAGATTCTACATGTGGAAGTTAATTCCTTAATCGGAAGTATTCTCCCGATATATGTGCGTAGTATTACTACTGCAGTACCGTTTAAACGTAACAATTATTTTTTAAACATATAACTTCGCGCGTTACAAATAATCTTTGATGTTATAGAAAGCCTTTGCTAATCATTTCTACACATCTTTTATTAATATCATGTCTTGTGAAGACATAGATAAAAACGCGTATTTTCTACATTATTTCAGTTTTATTTAAGCGTATTTCTCAGAAATAATTTTAAAAAATTATGATATTCTTCTTTTTGCGCGTATATTTCTTATAATTATATCAATTTATTAAATGATAATTTATTAAATGATAATGTCCGTTTTGTGTATTGCGTAAAGGGAAGCTGTTCATCCTTGTGAGAAGGTGCAACACAGAACCTGCAACACAGTTGAGAAATGTTTCTTTTTTCCATTTACAAACTATTATCATTAATACGAAATTCATATTAATAATTCAATTGTTTCGTGTGACACAACAATTTTATATTGGAAATAAACGTTTATACTAAAACAATATTGAATTGTGTGTAATAATTTACGGCAATGTAATTATTGACAGCGTAATAGTCTACGGTAGCTGACCCCAATTGTATTACAAAATAAAAAATATCAGAATGTTAAGGAAAATAATTTAGTTGAAGATATTTTTATTGACTTGATCTATCAGATATTCACAAAATACATTTATGACGCAATGAATTAAACTCATTTTTGCAACGGTGAAAGTTAGAATAAGCGTGCTCCACACTCTATTTAATAAAGTAATTATTAACGGATTATTTTTTGATACACATTCATACATATTGACGACAAAAAAAATGAAAATGACTTTAATAAATAAGAGTACCATATATAAACACATATATAATGTGATGGTTTAACGTCATAATCTATGATACGTGATACGATTAACACATGCGCGTGCCGTAAATAATCATACTTGTGGTTGCCTTTTTCTAATCAACGTTAGTTTGTTTTTTTATCTAATTTATAGCGCAAAACGTTTGCAATATCTATCACTCATTTTTATCCATACTTTTAACTATTTAAAGCAATTTAATCAAATATGTATGCAAATGTTTGACAAGTCATCCAATTAGACAAACTCATTAATCTGATTGAAGTGATATGCTGATTCTTCTAAATTGTTGATATCTGCGATATCTGCGTAGTGGTTCGTGCAATTTAAAAACAAGCAGCATTTTTTCTAGTAATTTCCGACTACAACAGGTTGAAATTAGTGCATTGGTACTAAGAGTTATTTGTGTTCTGTTCGATACTTTGACGATGATAAACATACGTTCTAGGTCTAAACAAAATAATTGTTGTATTTCCAAAACATTAATCTGATAATATATTTCATTGTCCTTTATCGCTAAGTGGCAAATTTAGCCATGATATATAACATAGGTTAAGCATTCGATCTCAAGAACCGTTATGTTTAACATTTACTGAATAGTGTAAATGTAGGACAATACCTTTGCGATTACCCTTCATAAAACAATTTTAGAATTAGTCAAAGTGGTGTCACAATAATGTTACTAAGTAGAATATTTTGTAAAAGGGTTCTGCGACATGATTCGATTGATTGATAAAGTATCCTTGTTATATTGATATAAGAGAAAAATGTATAAAAAGATACTACATTTTGTATTGTAAGACATATTATGCTTAAATTCACTGTTAAAATCAAACAAATATGTATATTTAAATTTACCTTGTGATATCTATAGAAATACTGTATAGTAAAACACTTAATTATGAAAATCATCCTCTCATTGATATAAAGGACATTTAGATCGATCTTGTATTATGTTAGTATGTGTGTAATGTAAAGTATGAGAGTATGATTGTACAGTCAAAAAAAAGTAGTTTGTCTGTAACTTATGAACCATTTGGGATCAAGGGTCGCTTTATGCGCGTATATGCAGTTTTTAATGGTGTGATTGAAGTTAAGCTCTTTACTCAGCATAGTTTTGACCTGATGTTGCTTTAAGTGTAACATCGGAGTAGCTAAATATCCTTATAGAGCATTTACTTATTGTGTTGGTTCGAAAATCACAACAAAACAAACTAATGAAAAGCGCCTATTAGTATAAGGCCGATGTTATAATGATAGATTCTTAAGAGTTATTAAACAAGACGCACAAAATACGACATATTTACACTACTGTAAAAACATTTCATTGATTTGCATTTGTGGGCTGCAGTAATAAGGTACATGCACAAATTGTAAGTTGCTAAAAGCTAATTTCATTGTTGTCTAAACATTCCCGTATACATATATTGTATCTTTTAAAACACACGATTACGCCGTGTCACAAAAATATGCTTCTTGTTTACTGCAGCCTGATACTTTGTTGCTATGACGCTTCAAATCAATTTTTGACTTACTGTTTGCTGAAATGATAACCTCAATCACTAGACATCGATCAGCAGAAAGCAGAAATGACGGTAAGGGTAAAGATGGTTTTATTATTAAAATAATTGATCAGAGACGAGTATGGTTTGATTTGAAATTTTAACTTAAAATTTTAAACTTTAAATTATTATTAAGAACATAACTTTAAATGCAAGGTAAACTATCAGTATGTTTTATTTACATTAATTACATTTTTTGCTCTTATATTTTAGAAGAATTAGCCGCGTAAGAGTAGTAGTGCTCTTGATTTTTATCATTTGATTACATAATTATTGTCTTTGATAAACGCATTTATAATTCATGACATGCGAAAAAATAAAGAATTTAAATTTCAAAAATCTATCTTAATTTTGTTTATTGTTTCTTTTAAATGTATATTAAGATGAAAGAATAACTAATGTTTCTGCTTGTCGTTATGTCAAATTTCTCGCAATGCATTCGGGAGTTTACTATCATAATTCATGCTGTTTAGAAGTGACATTTACTTTAAATCTTCAAGAGCTTGAACTATCTGTGGTCTTTGACTGGAATATGTTTGATGGTTCTGGCTGTGATAGAGTCAGATGACATGAAGGCATGTTGGATAACACCTTCTGAGGCATACCGGAAGTACAGGTGTGTTAAGAGCAACATCACGATTCTACCATTCAATGTGTGTGCAATAACATGTTGCTTACAGCACAGGTAAGAATGATAATTCATATTTATATCCAGATGTTATTGGCGCATTTGAACACAACGTACGAAGAAGATATATAGCATATCTTATTTGTATTTGTGTAAGATGCAATTTTATCATGTAAGCTTTGAAAACAGTATTCTTCACGAGATGAACTAAAATTACATCTAACACAGCAAACAAACAATTTTTCTTTTTATTTAATGTTTAAAAACAAGTTTAATGTTTTCTAAATATTATCTTAATATTAAAATCTGTTTTCCCCACTGGTAGCCGAATTTCTCATAAAGTACAAGAATTCCTGAGATGAAAACAGTTCAACAATCAACGTAAAATGGCGATGATACCATTTTTTTATTAAAAGAATATGAATGGTCGCTTGTTTTTTTTTTAATAGAAACAAACAATTCGAGTAGAAGAAAACGTTACACCTTCCGATCTTATTCCGTTTTATATTTGTATTTGTATAAGTTATGTTTTTCACGGGAGGAAAAAAAATGTGTTTGATTCAGAGGGATATCATTTGGATTTGTTAGTCACACATCTTTTTTATAAGAAAGAAAACTTATTTGAGGATTGTTACAGACAATAAATAACTGTTTAAAGATGTGTAAAAAATTTTTAAAAAGGCTAGGAAATTGGGAAAAAGTGAAACTGTTGAAAACTGCCTTACGAACGCTGGGGTTTTTACTTATTCCTCGGCCTGAGGTTTTCATTTTGCATTAAGCAGTTATTGCTCGTAGGGTACTTAGATGTTATCAAAGACAGTTGTGCAGGTGAAAGGATTAGATCTTGTATTAAACAGACTGTAAAAATAAAAAATAAAATTTGGAAACGATTGGTAATTTGAATAAATTTAAGTTAGTTTTCTTCTTTTTATTAATTTTGAAATTTAAGTTATTTTTATCAATTTCAGTTTTGCTTTTCGGCAATTTCAGAATTGTCAGCAAAAATAAAATTAATGTACCACATCGGGAAATCTTAAAGAGTAGTCTCGTCATTCAAAAGTGTGAAATTATATTTTGATCATTTTCATTGTGAAATTATCAAACATGACTTTCTCGGATAAATCAGTAATCCAATGAAAAGCATAAAAAAGTGTTACATTTTTAAAATGACGATTTGTGGCGTGGGCCGCAAACACACATCTCAGGGCTGTATAAATGTTTTAATATTTAATGTATGTACACTTTTTAGAAACAATCTTTCTTAAATTTCTTCAAATGGATGGATATATACTTATACAAAATTATTTTAGGCTCTGGCATTAGTTCTTTGTTTTACAGCCATTGTCCACGACTTTGTTGGATTGCCCTCATATAAGAAAGAATTGATTGTTCACAGAAATCAAGCCTTTTTTATTAAACCGAGTAAATATGCAATAATAAAGAAATAATATATCCCAAACTGTGATTTTATAGCGCAATTACATCACTGTTTGGAGTTCAGATGCGAGGAATTATATCACGAGGGCGTAGGGCTCCCGAGTGATATAATTCCTCTCATCCGAACTCCAAACAGTGATGTTATCCTGCGATAAAATCACCGATTTGGATATATTATTTCGATTCTAACACAACATAAACAAATAAATGCTGCCGTACCTGCTGTTAAGCAAAATTGCGCCTGATTTGTTTCCGTTCTTGTTGTCAGCGCGTCGGATTTCATAGTGGTTACGTCACATGTACAATGATTACGTCACACGTCTAAATATAGAACGTCAAACAGTGACTCTATTGCATAATAATACACACTTTCGGTTCTTCTATGTTCAATAGGAAAAAATGCGGGTCGTGTTACATACATTTACAGGTTATGTAATACCATTTAAGTCAACACTAACTGGGATACGACGCTTTGATCTGAAATTATCTCCAACCGCTACCCCCCCCCCCCCCGAACATGTCCCTGTTACAACCGCCAAAATATAAATAAAAGTCATTTTCCTCATTCAGTATGCATTGCAACAATAATATGACATTATCAGGCGATTTCCATAATACCTGTACATGTATATAGTATTACTTATACAAGGATAGCATCTTTAACACCCTTTCAGTGAGTGATTTTATTCTACGCAAGTTAACAATCAAGTCAACCAAATCTGTATATTTTTAAAAACTTAATATTATAGATAATACCTTGCCCGGAATACTCTTCTTTTATCGTTATCAGATAGATTGTCATTTTGGGATTTATTCCGAAACAATTTGAGTATTTCGGGTAAAGTTTATGTGAAGTGACAAAGAAAATATCAGTTTTATATTTTTTGTGTAAATAAAATAAAAATAATATTTAAAAAATGTGTAGATTACTTCATTTGTTCACTTCACAATACTTTACTGTTAAAATATATTTTCAAAATCGAAATGTATGCTGCTTTAAACACAAAATTAAATAATAATTATGCTCATAAGTTTTCAATTTAGTATCTGATCAAAAACAAAAAATAAAGAAAAATAAATCGACAATTACAAGGTGTCAGCTAGTGGTATTAATAAACACAAGTAAAATAAAGTATTTATGGTCATAAGCTTTTGGCGAAATTCCGATCAAGCAAATCAGGAAACATTTAAGAATTCACAAAGTGTTGATGCATTCGGTAAGATACAAAGCGAGAGACTGTTTATGTATCATTTAAAAGATTTTTGTAATATCTCTTACAAATGTGACGTTTACTAGATAAAAGAATAGTGTGTAGAATATTGTATCCAATTGTTTGACATTACTAAAACATGTTTATGTATGACTTTATTTAGATGTATCGGATTGTACCACAAGGACACCAGTGATGAATGTTACTTGATCAACGCTATTGAAAAAGAGGAAAATTGTGCCGACTTGGATTGGACTAGCTGGAAAGCATATAAGAAAACAAAAGGTAACTATAACATATTAAGAGTTTGCCAAATATATTCTAAATGATTTCAAGAGAACAAGAAAATGATTGTTATCCCTAAAGTTTAGTTTAATCATATTTAATTGCATCAAATACATGATAAATATTATACAAACGTTTAAAAGTAATCAAGCGAATTAGCCAAGACAGACGCTCTGAAGAAACAATATATGAAATAGATAACTTAAGACAGGAAGAGATTTACGAAGCTGAAAACTAAGAACATGAGGGAAAATATAATATTTGTAAGCTGAAAAATAATTGTAAAATTTAATAAAATCAATTAAGTTTTTATCAAACAGAAAAAGAATATTATTAATGATGATTTTTATTTTCTTCCGCTTAAGACCTCGGCGGTTGCAGCCAATATTTATTGGTTCACAAGAGGGTCCAGGCTGGGCTGAACTTTGTTCCGAGTGAAAACGAAGATATTGGTGGTATTAACGTGACGCACCATTATGAATATGTAAGTCAATCTAAGTTACAAATATAAACGATATTGCTTGTTTTACAAATATTTAGATATCAGTTAATATTTTATTTTGATTACTTGATTCATTTCGTTTGTATCATTTCACAATTCGCATGTTAACATTAAATATAAAATGAAGCTTATATGAAAAACGTTAATTTTGTGTGTGTGTGTGTGTGTGTGTGTGTGCGTGCGTGCGTGCGTGCGTGCGTGTGTGTGTGTGTGTGTCAAGTAATATTTAAATCAATTAATTCATTCCTTAATGAATTTTTCATTTTACTTAAAATTGGAAATTGTACTTAAGGTTGGTGGTTTTAACTTATTTACTCTTCCAGCACATAAAGTAAAAAACCCTTGCTACAAATGTATTTTGATCAGCACTCTAACGCTGTCGTCACATAAATTCATAGCTCTGTAGATCTTTTAACGAGATAAAATCGAAAATAATGTGATATACTTTATTTATATACTAATTAGTTGCGTCTTACTAAAATACCAAAATATCGTTTATTAATGTGCTTAATTTACTCGTATTTGTTTATATAATGTAAACATTATTACAGATAACTCTACCAAACTTTTCCAAAGTTCGAGGATTTGCAATCCAGGGAAGGTGGCGAAATGGAACTTTTGACTCTTGCTGTGATGAAAGGGTGACATCTTTTTATATTCGCCATAGTACTGACCTCCAAGAATGGATCAGGGCTGACAATAACACAGTTAGTATCGTTTGTTAAGAATGTTTCAACATTTGTTCCGAAGATTACCCTTCTTTAACCAGATTCGAATGGTTTCAATCATTTCGTTTTTCATAAAAGTTATCATTTTTACGTGTATAAACATCTATCGGGGAATAGAACCACTTTTCTTCAATAAAAAGAGACAAAAAAAACCTAAGAACAAGTGTAAATAATGTTCCGATATAAGGGCCTATAAATCCTTTCTTGGAAACGCACATGCACACGCATGAATACAAGATACACAAGGATGAGGTGATCTCTTGTCAAGTTATATTACCCGTTTACAAGGGTAACTAAGTTTTTTAGGTCCATTTATGAAAATATATTTTAGGCTTCTTGTGTGAAACTAATATACCCTGAGCTGAGATATTTCGCATAAAGCATTCTAAAGTGGATCTCCTCAAAAGTTATGTTAATTTAGGCCAGAAATGGATCTCCACTTAAGTCGATTGATTTGTTTACATATACTTTAAGTAAATACTTATAATCACAATTGTCTTCAATAGCTTTTTAATAAAACATTTCAATCGCTATTTCCAATAGTTTTCTGTACTTATTATTGCCTTCGAATCGCGTAAGTGGCATTATTCCAATTTTGAGTGTACAGGCGAAAGTCTAAATAAGCTAATTTCTATTATTGAACATTTCAAGTTTTCAAATTTGCTTGGCATAAAGGATAAATAACGTACGTTGCCCAAAGAAATTTCTATAAATTTCCAAGAATGTTAAGTTTATTAAAAGAGTAGGGCAGATTCTTTTTTATCACAACCATTTTCAAATTTCAACTGTTGATCAATCATTATTACAACGGTCAATTGTTTTGTGAGGTATACATGTTGTCAATTTAGTTAAATGTAATATTGGCAATATAAGCGTAATGACACTTAAATATTTGTTTTGATTCCATCTATAAACCAGTTGAGTTAATACTACTGTTATTCCCTTATTTCCTTAACCACCACGTGTGCCATTTTAAACATCATTTTTAACAAATTAAGGGAAATATGAAGGCTGATAATTATGGAAATGTAGTAGTTTGATTAATTTCCGGACCAGGAGTTACAATATAAAGTTATAACCAAAGATATTAGACAGCGTATGGTATGTCAATTTATGCAACCCATTTGTTTTATTGCTGTTTGTTAAATTGAATATTCCCCATAAATTGTAATGATCACCTAAAAACAGAAATGATTCAGTGTTTTTCTCTCTGTTGTGTTTTGCATATATTTCATCAATGAAAGATAAACGTAAATGTGAAGGGCGACGTACACAGGACACAGCCGCCCCTCACACATTCCAGCCACGCTAGCAAAGTACTCTGAGGGCACCGAACTTTACATGAGAGAGGTCAAAAAGGCTGGGAGAGAAGAAATTCCTATTTTTAAATATTTTCTTTCCCTCTACTGTTAATCAATCATACTGAAATCGATGCTTATATAATACCTAAGATGTGATGAATTGGCCATTTCAATTTTTGTGTTGTACGGATCAATTCTTTGGTTCACTAAGTTAACATACTGATATAATACATATACAGTGCAATGGTGCAACATTTTGGTCGATTTTTAGAGATTCCGTTCTCTCTATATTAAAGAGGTTAGAAACTTAGTTAAAACTTATTTTCATATTTAATCACCTTACAAAATTCAGAAAACAAAATGCTCTTATATGATAACACCTGATCAATGAACATCATTAATTTATTATTTATCGACTAAATCCTTGTCTGATTAATAAAATAGTGCAAAACCCAGTATGACTCAATGATTTACTCCATAATCAACATATTATGACCTTTACTAGCTGTTGATCTCAGGTGGCCGAAACATTTATTTAACTTTTATTAAGCAATACTTTTTCGAAATATTTTTTTTTTTCAGCTATTTGAAGGTAATGTGATTCCGGATGCTGGAAATGAGATAGTCATCAATGTGTTTCAGACGCCTTTAGAAGTGCAAGCCTTAGCTTTTTTCCCAGAAGGTTATCATGGACAAAAGATCATCCGTTATAATGTGATTGGCTGTGAAATATGACGTCACAAATCTGATACTTCTCTGAGGCTTCGATGCCCGAGATGTTTTACTCTATCGCCTTTATACAAATCTAGTTTTTGAAATTATTTTTCAAATCAATCATAACAAATTTACTTTTCTTGCATATCAGACTGGTGTTTTCGTTAGTTTACCCATGCCGGAAATTTCATCTAGCTTGGGGTACCAGATGAGTCGCATGCTACAAAATGGAATGCTTAGGATGACGTTATTTCGCCGTTTTGAATGAACTTTTAATTTCATATGCTGTTAGATAATAGTAACGAGTGTAATGTCATAAAATGCCATGAAAACTTGTTTTATTAAAGTAAAAATAATGGTGGAAACAAGTAGAATATGCAAGAAAAATATCTGATCGTTATATCCGTCCCTTGGGAACCCGCCCAAGGGCAGTAACTCAACAAGGCTCGCTTTTCATCCAATGGGCGGGTTCCTTCGAGAAAAACTTACCTATATGAACCGCAACATATGACAGATATTATAATGGTAAACCGGCTAAATTTAATCGGTCTCATTAATCGACAGTTTTATAAAAAAAACTAAATTGGTGAGTGTTATAATTAGGCATATACTACATTTAATTTATTTTTGTAAATGCTAATAAACGCTTATCTCGTACATAATTTCATAATTGAACTGAAACATCAAACTCTAATGAGCACTTTTGGCATTGTAAAAGTCCTCATTATTTTTTATTGTCTTGGTCATAAAGTAAGCATGTGTGGTTCTTAAACAAAATAGGCCACTCAAAATCCAGTGTTTGTAAATGCGGTTTAAGTGGTTTAAGTGGCCACTAAAATGTATTAAGAACATCATACATTCGGTGTATAGAGATAATTTAAATATAGTGTTGCATTTTTTGAGCATACAGCAAATGGTTATTAATGAGAACAAAACTGAATTAAGCAAATTATTTCAATTTCAAATCAGTTCTTATAATTTGCCCGATTTTTAATACATTTGCCCGATATACACATGACAGATGACTATAGCTAGCTTTATGACATAGACATTATTTGATGCTAATTTCAGACTACAAACAACACGAGATCAAATCTAATTTAAGTAACATCTGTAAACATCTAATGAAAGAATATGTTACTGTTTATTATGTGAAATGTTAACAATTAAGAACTGAAAAAGGAAGTTACCGGTACAGAGCGACCGAGGGTTCTTTATTGTTAAAATGTCTACTAAATAAAAACTCACTAAAATTTTTAACCTCTGCTTGAACGCCTCCAGTCTAAAGAAAGTTGTTACCAATAATTCTATAAAGTGAAGGAAGCACGTTACATTTCATCTTGTCAATTACGTCAATTAATATATAATAGCAAAGATATGCTCAGTGGCAGAGTACACACCATTTAAAATTTCTTCAATGCTTTCTTAAAAAAAATTGACGTGAATAATTTTGTGATATCCGTCTTCTTTTGTATAATTCCGTTGCTGAGGGTTTAATGACACCTCTAGATAAAGTACAGAAATATATCTTAAACAATGTGTCATGTGTCTTTATGCATTAATTGAAAAATGTTTGAATGACAATCATCATCCATTTATGATTTATATAATTATGTAAGTTCAGTATGATCAAAATATATTGGTTTGTCTATTATTTAAGCAAAACGACCCCGCTATAAAAAGCGGTAGTTGGTTGATTGTAAGAAGAAATGCTGACCTAGTTCCCGCTCCGAATTTTACCAGTGTCGCGTCATCCTAATAAGGCGGGGTGTTACTTCATTCAGTTTACATATGCGCGTTATGTTCCATACTCATAATTGTCAATTTGCATGTCTATTCGATTGTTAATGGTATTCTAGAAAATTGTAGCGATTAAATTGGTCGGCAAAAGATGTTGAACGCTTATATATGAATATATTTATTATGCTGCCTATCATGACATTTATTAGATAACTTTCATACTGATAAAAAACAACAACAATGGATGGTAAATCTATTATTCATGTATATGATTATTCTCAGTTTGGGACTTGCTATGTATGTACTGCTGTGTGTGGGCATTTTGATGCTGTTTTTGTTGTTGTTGTTGTTGTTGTTGTTATTGATTTGATTTTTGTTAGTTTTGTTTGTTTACTTTTATGGGCTTTTTGTTTTGTTTTGTTTTTTTCTAATTATACATCTCATGTTTGTATCATGTATAATGTTCTGAGAGAAAAAAAAGAATTTGAATTTACTTCTGCAAATGCTAATGCACAAAAGTGGTTCTTTAACCCTCTATTATTTCTACAAGAAACATATACAATGTACTTAAAAAAGAAACATCATTTTGTTTACAGATTTGTTTAAATGAAAATAAAAGTTTCTGTTAGATTGTACGACTGTCTTATCTGATCATGTCTGCTTAATTTGCCTGTTATTGGTTTTTTTTGTGTGGGTTTTTTCTTTGTTTTTGTTTGTTCATTTTGTGGGGGGTTTTTGCGTTTTTTTTTTATTTATTTATTTTTGCGTGCGTGTGTGCGTGCGTGTGTGTGTGTTGGTGTGCGTGTGTGTGTGTGTGTGTTATCTTATTTATTATTTTGCATTGTCTGGCAGATTTTTATACATGTTTGAATAAAGCTCTTAATAAAATCTTGTTGTTTGTTGTGATACCTTTCCATTGCAACGATTTCGAATAAAAATGTATATGCAGTTGAAAAAATATATATACAGCTTGGTTAGACTGCATATTTGTGAAGTCCTGGGCAGCTCTACTCTGGTTCTGGTGACAAAGGATATTCAGAATTGGTTTCAGCCGATTAAAAGTTTAAAATCTTGAGAGATAAATGATACCAACTAAGGAAATTTCAATTCATTGAACTATGCACCTTTCCGTTTAGAAATATCAAGGTCATTGATGCGTTATATGATATATGCGGCAGGTAAACGTCATTCTATTTTTCTAATTTTATTTTTCTAATTGAACATCCCAGTCTAGAATAGTTGACGTCAGTTTATATTTCAGAATCACATAAACAGAAGTGAGAATGTCTTAAAACGCAGAATTATTTTCTTGTAATTCGAACATAGATGTATCTATAAAGGAGTAAATTGATGATCTTTTCAGTCTTTAATCTGTTCTCAGGGCAGATCACGACCAAAATCAAAGCTTGAATGAAAAAAGGGAAACCTGAAAGCAGTATGCCTACAGATTCGTGCTAATCTACATGAAAAAATTGAAAATGTATTTAAAATTATAATAATTTTTTTGTCAAGTGAACAAAGAAAGTAATTTACACATTTCAATAAAAATTCATTTGGTATGAAATTATGTTCAATTCTTATACAATCTTATAATTTGGAAAAATTAAGAAACTATTTAGTAACTATTGGCAATAGTATCATTTTCTTTACTTTTTCATATTCTATGGCTAGTTTCTTAATTTAAATGATAATGAAAAAAACCGAGATATACTTTGTATTTTCTGTTTACTTAGTATATTCATGGTCGTTTAAAATTTATTATAAGTACATATAACTAAAGAAGTCCATCTCTGACTACGCCTTGGTGACATAATTAATTTTCTTTATGTAAGTACAGTTGATTTTTCTTGTAACGCTTTTCTTGGGGACAATTTAAAGGCATACTTTGTTTAGATTTGGGTATAATACTTTTACTGCAGAAATTTATTGGAATTAAGTAGATTTTTCCTGAATTATGGCTAATTTGAAGATTAAATGAATGTATTAAATAATATGTATAAACTATGGTTGGGGAGCATTCTCTATTTCGTGTCAAATTCATTTGGTCTATTCTTATTAAACTGCAATGACACTGTGTAATCATACTGTGATTTAATACCTGTGGTGTATAGAGTTTAAAACAACATATTTTCTCCGTGTGTATTCAAAGGATGTTTATTTTACATTTCAAAAGAGATTGTAGAGTATTTCAGCTGCAAAGCAGTCGAGTCTTAGATAAGACATGTGATGTCGAATTTCTGGCGCATTACGATATTGACTGAAGCATACCCGTCCTGTCACAGCATAAAACGAGTCCTACTAGTACCGGCGTAATGATATTTTCGTGTCGTAATGCTTTCCCTTTAATTTCAACAACTGCGCAGATCTAAATAGACATTTGTCTAGGTAGCACTTTATACGGCTTTTCTAAAGGTGTGCAGTAGCACGGATTTATATTACCCATGACTGTACAAATCTGACCATTCTTTCGCTGCTTTTTTACGCGTGCGTTAAATCTCGCTTGTATTAGTTTTTTTCTAATACAAAGTGTAAGCATGAATTTGAATGGCGCAAAACACTTATTTATTTAAAGTCCATCGCTTCATAACGTCTTAATATTACAAACTTAACACGAATATTATGAACAAAACATGTGAACAATACAATTATTTTTCTCATTCTACATATATCTAAAATAATATTTATTTACCTCTCCAGCACTAAGTGCAGATAACACGCTAAGGAACGACCTTAATAAAACATATAAAAAGAACGCTTAAAAAAATGATCAACGCATATGACGCATAAGAAATCAAGGAAACAAAAAAAACTAAGAATAATAGTTTGCAATTTATGCGTAACATATTATGTCCTCACCAATATAATCAATTACCATTCAATTATATAGCAAAAGAATAGCAAAACAAAAACAAAAAAGAAAGAAGTCACTGTTTCCTAAAACAATGACACTTACTACTTATTACTACAAGAAATAAAAAAATGCAAGGTTTATATATTCAGCAAAAATTGCAAATCCTCAAGTTTGTATTGCATCTGTAAGTGTAGCTCCAAAACAAAATGTTCTTCTCAGTGTCTAGAAAAATAACAACACTAAAGGAAGAATTTAGATTGTTTGCTGGTTTATTGCTATTACCTGTACGATATAGAAGTGTAAGTAATAGCAAGGTGCAATTGAAACAAAGATTGTTTTTGTAACAACCATTTGATTAATTTAAAAGATCAATTGTTCACAGTCTTTTTGGATTTATGTTATAAGAATCGATGACAATTACGAATTTCATTGACAACAGCATTTTCTGCAGCACTTAATCATGTCTCAAACTGTATACAACACACTATAAAACGTGTAAATAAGGCATAGACCTTACATCTGGTGGCAGATATGTGCAATGTCTTATTTTCGCCAAACAAAAAAACAAAAATATCACAACGTCAACAATTTGGCGTACCTTCGCTCGGCGGGGCGTGAGACGAAAACACGAAAATACGACGGTCAACATTTTGTCGTTCTTTCTCTCGGCTCGACACCGGTCAATACACGAAAATACGACACTGTCAGCACTTTGTCGTATTTTCGTGTATTCGCCAGGCGAGCGCCCCGCTAAGCAAAAATTTGATATGGTACAAATCAGCAACCATACATTATAATTCTCGTTTTTGTTCGCAAATATTTTTCAGAATAAAAATAATATCATTAACTTGTTGCAGATTTTGTGCTACATTTAATGTTAATATAATCACGATTAAGTGGCTCTCAATGATAACAAAAATACACAACAAGAACTGGAAACACTGTCCCTCCTCCTTCACAGGAAGCCGCAAATTACTGCTTCCTGGTGAAAAAATCAAAGCTGACGCATTTGGCAAAACGTTTTGCAAAACTTTCAATTCAGTTTTATACAAAAATGTATAAAAAAAATTTTTGCAGTTGTAACTTTCTAGTTGCTAATTATCCCCCGCCGAAAGGCGGCGGGGAATATAGAAATAGTCTTCGTCCGTTCGTCCGACATTTTTTTCAGAGCAATAAATTATCTCAAAAAGTATTTGAGGTATCAACTTGAAACTTCATAGGTGGATAGATCTCATTGAGGAGGAGTGTAGTGCACAAGAATGATAACTCTACTCTGCATAATTTTTGAGTTATTGCCCTTCGTTTTTTGGGTTTTTCTTTTGTTGTTTTTTTTTTTTTCAAAATTAATTTTTGTCCAGAGCATAACTAAAAAGCCTTTGAAATATCAACATGAAACTTCATAGGTGAATGTATCTCACTCAGGAGGTGCGCAGTGCAAAGAGTGATAACTCTACCCTTCATATTTATTTAGTTATTGCCCTTTGTTATTTTTCATACTTAATTTTTCACCTGAGTGGAGCATAACTCAAAAAGTCTTTGAGATGTCAACATGAAACTTCATAGGTGTATTTATCTTATTGAGGAGGAATGCTGTGCACAAGAATGATAGCTCTACCCTTTATAATTTTTGAGTTATTGCCCTTTGTTATTTTTCATACTTTTTGTCCGGAGCTTGTCTCAAAAAATTGTAAGAGGTATCAACTTGAAACTTCATAGGTGGATAGATTTCATTGAGGAGGAGTTCAGCACACAAGAATGATAACTTTCCCTGCATTATTTTCAGTTATTGCCCTTTCTTTTTTCAGCCATCAGTATTCACAAAGGTTTCAAATCTGTTTTTATTACCAAAAGACCACTTTAAATTGAATTATTCTGTTCTACTACATATACATTCTTCCATTGAGCAAACACATTCGGCGGGGGATGGCCATGCTAACATGGCTCTTGTTAAAATTATTTTGACTTGACAATCTTTTACATAAAAACAACTTAATTACCGGAAAAGGGCATTAAGATGCCAGTACCGTGTGTTTATGCTTCTACGTACTTGAAGCATGCAGCAACAATAATTAAATAACAAGGTGCAAAGGCACAACGGTGTTTTGTTGCTATTTTGTAGTTGAGATATATATTTTTCACAATTATTTATCTCATTTTATGCACTGTAACTACAGGGTATTTTAAAAGCATATTTTCTTCACAATCTTTTATCATTTTACTATAAAAATAACAACACTGACAAGATGAATTGAGACGTTTGTGTCTTTGCTAACCTAATTGCTACTGCATGTCCGAGGCAACAAACAATAGAACGATTATTTATTAATGTATAAGATATAAAGCAAAGGGTTGACTATCCACTGCTATAATTTATAATAAGAAACCATTTTGGATAATATTAAGGTAGCACAAAAGAAAAGCAATACGTCTGATAACATGTAGGTTATCCCAAACACCACAACTTTGAAAATGAAGATTCGTTTTGTTTAATAATACATATGTCATAAGATAACAAATCTATAATAAAAATATTTCATCTACAATATTCAGGCCGTTAAAAAAACATTGCTTTTTATTTTGTAAAAAAATACGGTGAGTAAATCAACACAGTTTGTCTGTCATGTTAACTATACCTACAAAAACGGGGCAAATAAAGCATTTCTCTACTTCAGCAATTGACTTTACATGCACAATAACAAATAACACATAGTAAACAAGCTTAATCTTCATTTTAAAGACAGCCAATTGTTTAAATCTAAAATAGTAACCACAGTACCTTCAAGACCATTTGAAGCTATGGCTATAATTATTGTAATGTGCTATCCTACCTTTATGTTCAGATTTCGCTACCGAGCAAATTTCGTTCGTAT